ACATCACACTGCAAACTCCAAGCTAGCTTTAAAGGGGAACTTTTTGTAATGCCAATGCTGTATGGCAATATTAGCAGCCATTTCTGATGAGAATTCGGCAAACGTGAAATCAGCAAAATCTTTTTGATCATCCCCAGTAAGAGAGCACCCCCCCCCCCCCCCCCCCCTCCATAGACGGCTGGAATTTTTCCTGCTTTTTTTTTTTCTAATTTTGTCTCAGATGACAGGAAATGACACACGTGAGAACCGCAATTCTGATGTCAAAAGTCCTCCTATCGCTGTGCTGTTAACCCCTACCTGTCCAGATTGTCACAAGCTATAATGGAAATATGTTGTGTAGTTTGCTTTGCTCTGTAACTGACCTCTATAGGAACTAATTTTTTCAAGGATTTTTACTATACGGCTTGTAATATATATAAATGCATGGCAATTTGTGAATGACGTTATGCGGGTTATTGTGAGCATTCATCCCGCTGCTCCCGGAGGTCATTATTGGTGCACGCTATTCCTGAGTCAGCCAATAGTGTCATATTGATGGACGATGCAATAAGCGGAGGCGAGGACAACCTGGTGTGCTGATTGGCCCCAGCCAGAATTATTAAAATAGTTTACAGATTAAAGCGATTTCAAATCTACATGTTCCGGCCTTCAAACAACTACAGATTAATATTCTTTATATCATTTATGATTAATATGGCATCATCATCTGCTGGGGCACTGTAGGAAGTGTTACAAACAAAGCTGACTGAGGAAGCCCAAGTATCCTATTTTGATTATAATTGTTAACCAGAGTACAATCCTCAAACATTGTAATACTGATACAAAACCTGTATGTGGGGGGGATGGGGGCCTAAATTACTTATATGTTTAATAAAAAATTTAATATGAACATATAAAATGTATATTACAAAGGAATAATTATACCACTCTCTTCTGTAAGCTTCATCAGGGAGACAATAAAATTCATAAAAGCAGCAAGGGCAGCTATGCTGATGATACAAATCCATAAAAGACTTTCCAAAGGATAAGAATATGGAATGTAGAGTAACATATATTCCACAATGGCTGGATGCAGCGTGAAGAGAGTTCCCAGCATGCCTTACATTGCCCAATATCTTCTGAAACATGTTGCTGCAAAAGAATCAGCGGAGATGTTATTGGCTTTCAATAGCAACACGACATTGGGGGGAATTCACAAAGGTGTCTGCCCCATTATACTACAAACAAGTATACTGGCGCAGGAAACTGATGTTTGTGACATGCCCTACATTACCTAAGCAGATAGACCTGTTTCAAGTCTCTCTGCGTCACCCACACCAGTTTTTGTTTCAGAGTAAAATAGAAATGGGCACAGGATCTCCTGCTAATTACAATTGGATTGTGGCAGTTTTCAGTGAAGAAAACTGCTGCAGCTCCCCATCAATTTGGATCTGTGATATATAAAGACAGCTCCTGTACCTCCCTGCCCTCACTGCTTTATCCAAGCCTGCAGCTTTAACAATTCTATCTTTTCAGTCTTGTACTCATCTGAGTGGGGAGATGGGGACGGGGGGTAAATTGGGGCAGGATCACAAGCAGCCCAAACTGAATGAGTCTGTGCTGTGTCTGTAACAGACACAGCATATAACTGAAAGCAAATCACCACATGTGTTAATCACAGTCAGCATCTGCTCTATAATTTAAACAGTATACATGCAGTTTTTGTCCTTTAACCAGCGAGTTGAAGGAAAAAAAAAATCTCCCCTGCTTTGCTGTTGTATTCTGACAGCAGCGACCCCCCCCCATCAGAATACACTGACTCCCCCCCCCCCCCCGTCAGCACTGCAGCAGTGCCGTTCGACAGAAGCCAGTCTAATGACAGATGGGGCTACAAATGTACCAAAGTTTGGCCAGCTCTTGCTTTGGGTAAGTGTAGACCCAACTTTAGTTTAAAAGAGTGGTGCACACTTTATGCCTGTGCCACCTTTTGTTAACCCCCATTATGTGTTAATGTACATAATATGTATTGGTATAAAAATCTGCAGGTTAATCATTTGCCTCAAAGCACAACATAACTCCTAGCCATAATCCCAAACCCTACCATCAAAACTCCTGTTTTTCAGCTGTCATTCTAAACCTCTATCTGCTAACCTAAACCTCCCTATCTGTCACCCCTATCCCTCAAACCAATCCTCTGTCATCGTAAATCCCTATCTGTCATCCAAACTCCCTATCTGTCATCCTAAATCTTTTCCTGTGATTCCAAACCCATATCTGCCCCCCATCATTCAAATCAAACCTGTCTGACTTCCTAAATCCATATTGGCCATCCCAAACCTCAGCTTCCTAAACCCTCATCTCATACAGTCTGTCATTCTAAACACTAATCCTTAACCCATACAGCAACCCATAATACCTCAATCAATCAATACAAAGCATAATAACCAGTCATTTTAACCATGATATTAGTACTGATAATAACGCCTTTTGCACACTGTATCCATGACAACATTATCAGCCTGGACACTGATTATCCCAGAGGATGGAGATGAAATACAATCTGCATCCAACAACCTGTACTGAGGGACTAGAAGATTCGACAACTTGTGCAGAAGTCTGGCAGGGCATGCAGGGTCTTGTACTTCACCAGCAGAGAGAGCTGTGCATCTGTTGCAGGACTATTTTCTATGCCTCAAATCCATGAACTCTTCATGTTAGGTACATAATTCTGCCTGCATACAATCCAGGTACTGCTGAGAAGGAATTCTTTAAGATTGCATTGGCTGAAAATAGCATTATTTCTGCACAAATGTTCAATTTACCTGACATAACAGTGTCATACTGCAGTGGGTGTGTCACATGATGAAACAGAACAAGACGCAATGGGGAGGATTTACTAAAACTGGAGAGTGCAACATCTGCATAGAAACCAATCAGCTTCCAGCTTTTATAGTCAAAGCTTAATTTAACAAGCTGAAGTTAGAAGCTGATTGGCTACCATGCACCGCTGTGCCAGATTGTTTTAGTGAATCTCCCCCAATATGCTGACTTCCCGAAGTGTGTTTTTTTACTTCCCCCAACCACCATCTAGATGTTACACGTCTGTACTGCACAGACATCCAGGAGGTCTGACACGGTGGTAAAAAATGTGCCTTTTTTTGTCTTACTTTGTATTTTCAGTGACATTGTTTATTTTTTGCCATTGTACAAAGGCAGAAAAGGCCTCTTTGTATCTCTTTGCATCCGCTGTGTTGAAATCCTGAATCTGTGACAGAAATATTTTATCTTATGTTAATAAATATGTGTTTGGTTTAAATAGAAGTAATTGCGTAACTTTGTGTTTTTGTTGTGAAATGGCTGATTGGATGATGTGGGAACAACGGAGAACGAATGGGGGTGTTTGCTGTCAGCTCTCCATGCTGACATGAAACATACCAACTTAATGATGAGACAAACCTGAAGAGAAACTGTCTATGTGAAGCCTGACACAGAAGCAGCAAATGTCTGGCCTGTATGGCAGGGCTGGGGAGGTGAAGTTTGTTCTAGTCAGTGCATGGTGGCTTCCATTTGAGGCTTCTTACACAGGTCTCTGCATCCAGTCAACACTATCAAAATGCTTTTTGCTTTATTCTATTTTTTATGCCATTTACATCTACAGAAGAGCAGAGGGCTGTGTGATTTCTGAGCCTTTATCTGAAATCATTTATGCTGAGAACAGCTGTTTGTTGGGGGAGTTGCTGCTACCAGCTACTTTATATGGCACCACCTCCACTAAAATACAACCTTGGCTGTTCCTCATGTGGAGTGGAGGACTTTAAGACCTGGTTCATACTAATGCAGTGCAGGAAACGCTGCAAATCCTGTGTGTTTCCCGCACCGCCTTGCAGTCGCATGGTGTTCATGCAGTCTGGTGTGGGTGTCAATGGTAAATGAATGACACCCCAAAACAGATCGCAAAACACACTGCGATTGCCAGAAATCTCATTGCATGGGTGAGAACATCCATGTGATGCGATTCAAGTGCAGGTTAAAAAAAAAAAGCGTTCTGCACCTTTTTGGTGCAGATGTGATGCGACTTGAGCCATACAAAATTTATGGCTCAAATTGCACTGCACAGACATCGAATGTAATTCATACAGGAATGCAATGCAATTCCTGTGCAAATTATATGCGGTGTCCCTCACCACATTAGTGTGAATCCGGTCTAAAGGAGAATGAACCCGGTCTAAAGGAGAAGTATAGCCAAAGCTCTTTTGGCCCTAGTTCACCTATGAACTATATTCAGCCAACAGCAGGCTAAAATCTGCTCTTGTCTGACATCACTCAGCTGGTCCAGGCTCTGGAGGGATCCCAGCTTTAATGTTGGGATACACCCAGATGACTGATCAGTAGCCGGCTTAACCTCTCAGCTCCAGTGAGCACTGGAGGGAAAGAGCAGAAATCTGGTGAAGTAGCTTCAGTTAAGCTATCTAAGTTCTAACCAGCTATCTAACTTCAGATAAAGGCTTGGCTGTGTGACAACCAAGCACTTATCTGAAATTAAAAGAAAAAAAAAAAACAGAATCTTTGGTTAGAAAAAATACTTGATAGGGAAGGAACGATCGATATATTTCCGGTCCTCTACAGCTGGCAATACAATAGTAGAGTTTTGTTAGAACATTTTAATTTTAAGAACATTCATTTCATTTTCTAATCATTTGGTCATTGGTTTTTGACTGCAATGACAAGAAAATTTGAAGGAGGATGGAAAATTTTTCCCAAACAAAGCTCTAACAGTCAGTGTGGTATTTTATGTATCTTTGACAGCTTGTCCTCTAACAAATAGTATTTCCTGGCACATCTGATTTCTGAAAAGGGCTCAGACTTCACTCAGTCCTTCAGCTCTTTGATTGATATATGTAAAGAATAATAATAAATAGAAAGAATTAAACCATTGTCTTAGGAGAAACAAATGCCTGGAAATGTATTGCAAAGATACTTTGTGCCCTTAATGACAAATATTGTGAATATCTCTTCCTCAGGTATCCCACCCTCAATCTCTCCGCTCACTTCCCCGTGTCACTCACCCATTCACGGCACACCGGCACCCAGCCCCACGCTAAAGTCATTGCCAGTGCAGTTCACAGATTCCGAGGGCAGCCGGCTTGGCCTGAACCCACACAAAGCCTTAACGTGTTCCCGGAGTGCGCCGGAAATTCCCGAACCCGTCCCTGAAGACACCACCGCTGTATGTAGCAGGTAATCACATGTATGCATCAATCTGTGTGTCAGCTCTGTGTGCAGACCTGCCCCCTTTTGAACGAACCAAATATCAACCACAAATGTGAGATCATCAGATCACACAATTGTTTTGCACTAAGGACCTTTAGTATGGCTCAGAGTTAAAGCAAGCCATAGATGACAAAATTTTCTTTCCTTCAACCAGGGGTTGCAGTAAAGAAAATCATTTAAACACAGTCAGTTTTGATGGGGGAATCCCTGCTGCAGTGCTATTGTGTCCTGGCGGGGAGCCTTCTGGTGGCTAAAGCCAGCAGCCGTGATCGCATGCAAAAAATCTGACCGGCTGGTTGTACTGAAGTCGATCAGTGGATCAACTTCAGTGCAACCAGCCTGCCCATAGATGGATCAGATTTTGGCTGATCTATGACTTGCTTTAGCTTCCACATCTTCTTGATAGCACAGGACTCCCCCAGCTACTTCTCAGCTACATAGTTAGTCTGGCTGAAAAAAGACAAAAGTCCATCCAGTTCAACCATGGAAAAAAAAAAGTTATAATCCTTTACCCACAGTTGACCCAGAGGAAGGCAAGGCAAAAAAACCCCAGCAAAGCATAATCCAATTTTCTCCTGCTGGGAAAAAAATTCCTTCCTGATCCCCCGAGAGACAATCGGATATTCCCTGAATCAACTTTACCTATAAATGTTAGTATCCAGTTATATTCTGTGTATCTAAGAAACAATCCAGGCCTTTTTTGAAGCAATCCACTGAGCTGGCCAGAACCAACTCTTGAGGGAGTCTATTCCACATTTTCACAGCTCTCACTGTGAAGAAACCTTTTCGTATTTGGAGATTAAATCTCCTTTCCTCCAGATGTAAAGAGCGTCCCCTTGTCCTCTGTGATGACCTCAGGGTGAATAACTCTACACCGAGTTCACTATATGAACCACTGATATATTTATACATGTAGATCATATTCCCCCTAATCTCCTCTTCTCAAGAGAGAATAAATTCAGTTCCTCTAATCTTTCCTCATAGCTGAGCTCCTCCATGCCTCGTATCAGTTTGGTCGCTCTTCTCTGTACTTTCTCCAGTTTTC